TACCCCTGTGCCAATGACTTCACATTGGCGCAGTGGTAAACACGGTTGCCTCATGAAAGCGTGGTCGGAATTTTAGTCCCGGCATTGGAAAGGATGTGCACTACTAACTAAATGCTGTTTGGTACCATTCAACGAAAAGCTGATGGGCAGTCCTGGCTACTTCATCCCACTGTAGCCGAAAGACGAACCGACGAACAAGAATTCCTATAGAGCTGACGACTTGATTTAGTGTTCACAATTGGAAGGATGTATAATGAACCAGCTGCATAAAGGGGATGCTGGGAATTATCACACACCCTACTTTCTAGGTTTCTGCTAAACAATATTGTATTGTTCAACCTGTTCGATAAGAAAGGGATGCATAACTTTGTGCGAACCGCGTTGTTTTATTAACCAGTACGCACTTTTCGTTACAAGTCAGTTTCAGCTTCATGGAATTCTGGAAACTTAGATAGGATGTCAGGCTCCAATTCAGTGCTGCAGGTATATGAAATGTGCGTTTGATTATTGACTAGAGAAGCAAATACATGCAGAGTTGGATGCAACAGGTATATCCACACGACTTAACCGTGAATTCATGTGTATCAAATCCCGTTCTGGTCCGTATTTGGCTAATTTTCTCATCTTACTGTGACTTCTTCCGTCTGTCCGTAGAGACCGATTATACCTTCCAATCACGCTTTAATTATAGAGCCTGAAGTACTACTATATTTACTTAACAATACGACCAATCGGCATATCCACAAATGAACTCAGTGGCCTTCTTTAATGGGAAACTCTCGAAATAGTACAACGCATCGAAATGCTCATATGCTGGGTATTTCTAATACGGATTTGTTCAACATAATAGGGAACACAGACATACCCTGTTAGCACTGACGATAAACTCTGGCCGGTCTCCCTCAACTATTCCGCTCAATAATACTATCTTGTTTTGTTCCGTTAGTTGCCGATGTATGTAATTGCAGACTGTATTCACTAGAGTGCTCAAACTTAACACTGCATGTCGCTTGAGAGAGACTACATTTTAATAAATTTTAAGGTGGTAATGGCTAAGTGCACATGCGAACAGTTAATAGTGCTACTCTGTTAATTCTATTCAGAGAAACCGCGTAAATTTGGCCGACAAAATGTGTTTGATTTTCGGCATTCTGGTAAGCCAAACACTATTTACCCAGCGCAACTGCCTCGAGTGAATCATCGCGCTTTAATCAACAGTCTATGGATTGGAAGCCCAATACGGTACACCATATCTGAAACTAAACCACCTGACCTTGTACGTTACTTTGTACGTGCAATCTATATTTAGACCGCACATCCCCTGGCCCTTGAAAACAGTTTTCCACATACTGGTTTAGTCAGATATAAAAAATAGTCCAGCTGGATAAGAGTTCGGCTAAATCAATCCTGCACGCTTGTATCAACTCGGATTCGGTTGCTTGGTAAGTAATGTTTATTCAACCTGCAAATGTATGTGATTGTTCTGAAAATTATTCGGCGTGAAAAATGCAGTAATTGGCTTTCTGTAATCGAACATTCGTAATGGGCTTTACAGAAACGCAGTCATACTATCAGTTACTTCAAGATAGATTGATCTATCGCATACTATTTTGAACTTCGTGAACCATTTCAACAAAATTACCAATGTAACATATCTCACCTCAAGTATTGACTTGTAGAAACCAGTTCATTCCAGGATGCTGGCAGCGACCATTTCGCAACTTCTCTAGAGTTCCTGGACTCACAGCTGAATGCTAGTCTGCATCAGCATCTGAACCTGATTCTAGACGTGTGACCAATATAGTAAATCGGTGTTACTAGTGATTACTTACTAGTGTACATTTCAACGTCTAGCTAAATGAATTTGTTTTCATGGGTTAGATTCAGTAGTCAGAGAAACTGGCAGATTTGCAGAGATGTGCAATGTTTCTGTTGAAACAAAAGCGAGTACACGTTCTTATGGAGGCAGCTGTTGGTCCCAAAAGCTGACAGGTGATAGCTGGTATAGGTGTAGGTTTTTGTTTGAGCTAGCTTGGGGATATAAATGATACTTCTCTCCTATTACCAGGATGACTGCAAGTAAGAACTTGCCCCCCCTGTACGCCCTGTGAAATGTAATTGATCCTAGACCAAAGTCTCTAATTCGCCTACCTACAAACAAGTTTAAATGAATACAGTTCTGTAACTCCTAAAACAAATGCTTGGTAAAATGATTGTTGAATGTTTAGTCTGAACAGTCTTAAAAAATCATCAGCGACTCACTATTTTTGTAACAGCGACACACTAAATTTGCCTGATAGACTGGGGAGTGTTTCAACATTATGGTGAACGCTTGTCATTTTTTTATAACATCGTCTGCTGATTGGTTCACATTCGCCTCCAAAATACGGAGTTTGCTAGCGCAATTTAACAAATCTTCGTGATCTCGTCTGCTCATTCTCACTGGTGGGTGGATGGGCTGCACCTGACATTCACTCGTTTTTGTTAGCAATTGATTTGCAGTTTGTTGTTTGATTATTCACAAAACAAACTTGTTTGATCGATTTTGTCAATGGCTGGGAGCAACACACGATGCTAATTTGACAACGACTGTAACATTCAAGGTTTCAGTTCTGATCGCTTCCACCACTTTATCACGAGTTCTATTAGTCTGGAGTTGTTACAATGCTGTAGCCGACGGTAGTGACATTCACAAATGCACTGCCAAAACTACGTAACCGGCATTCTGTTTAAGTTTCTGATAGACCTACAAGAAATGTAAAGCAGTTAATCGTAGATCTGAAACAGTGTAATGACAAACAAACGTTCAACAATTATATGTTGAGATCAACTAATTGCTGGCAACAGAAGTCACAAAAATAGACCGATGGAACCAACCAATCTGCCTTACCGACGACTAGCACAAATGTGAAGAAACAAACCTGCTCATTCGCTTAGATTTGACACTCAGTTAACTGAGTTCGGTTTCACTTAATCACATGAACAATAGTTGATGCTTGCTCAATAATTATTTCTTCCTGACAATCTTATGCAAACTTCGGTGCGGAAAAATTACTCTTTGGCTATGACAACGTTCTTTCTAATGCGGTTCTTTACCTTTATAGCGTCAGTCCTCGGTAACGTGGCTGCCTTAAAGGCTGAAACAGTCCAAGTGTATAAAATGAGCACTAGTAGGGTGTAGCATAAAACCGCTTGTTGTTTAATTCAATATCTTTCATCTTCTCAGTTCGGTCGGATCACTCTCTCATTAAATGTTTTCTGTTTAACGGTCCCGGATTAATATTCTATCGGAATTGTGTCTTCACCCGCTGAAACCTGTTTTGTTCAATAATTTCCGGTTCTGGATATCTTTCAATCTCTACCGGTGGAGAAATATTGATACCTATCTGATGAGAATTGCGCAATTTAAAAATTGACAAAATTTATGCGTTGAAATTTGAGAATCTGTTCGTCACTCGATATGAACTCCTATATAAGCATTACTAAGAGATCACTCCAAGAACTTCTCAAGTCGCTGTACCGGTCATCTGTTCAAATCATCGTTATGCGCCGACCGTTCAGAGTTCTAGTCGTTCTATATGTTTGCACTTTCTCGGCTTATGAGTTCGTTATTCCCGTTTGGGATACTGGGGCAACTGGCAAGATATCTTCATTTTCAACCTTTAGTGATTAGGTTCCATTCATTCCATCACTGTAAAGTATGCTTGGCCAGTCTTGTCTGATATGACTCGATTCAAACAACTTGGATGTGCTCTAATACAGTCGGAATCGCCTTCACAGTTAATAGTTGCATATGCGGTGCATCTGTATATGGTTCAAGTATAATCACACTCTAAGCTGAACGAATGATAGCAGAATGGTACGTTAGATTACTGGCATGGTGGTGGCAACAAGCCGTGTTCAGTAAACCTGATTTGAAGCCTACCGATAGGTTGATATCGCAATCGGAAGCCTGGACCAAACAACACACGAATTACTGGGAGACTTGTTAAAATATGCTGTACATGTGGGTTGACAGTGGTATCTCCCCCTACCCCAAATATTTTGTTCCCATGTGGTTCCGGAAGATTCCTGTGAGTGCAGTATCCCTGAGGCCTTACCAAATGGACAGCGAGATGAATACACTCTAAACGCAGCAATGGGCATGCTTGAAAGTATTATAAGATTGGTCGTAGTCGAACGGTTGTTTATTCGGAAGCCTTCGCTGTTAAATTTGGGCGATTGCTCATCTATTGCCGTATGTACTTAATACAATTTGGCTATTTCTCACGAAAATAGTTGGTGTGGATGTTGTCTTTATACGGAGTGGTCATGGTAGGTATCGTTGTATGGTGACAACGCACATTTTACGAAACTTCATCATGAATTTAAAATTTAGCTCTTCAGAGTGCACTGTATGACGGTGACAGACCACCGATTCAGTAGGAAAAACTTACGTCACTCTCCTCAATATTCAAGTGTTCAACTTTCTTAGAAGATTTTTGCAACAACGAGTGAATACAGTGGTGTACTATGAACTAGCCAGGCCGTACGACTCAACCATTCTTGGTTCATGTTGATCAACAAGACACTTAAATCAAGATAGCTATAGACATATATTCTTGATTTGTATGGTTCACCTCCCCGAGTAACTGCAAACGTGTTAACATAAAAACCTTGGCTTATTCGCCAACAGTTACTTCGCCAAATCTAAAGTGACGAGTGGAAATTTTTTTACATAGAGCGTGTTTGCATAAATATTTGATGATTGTTAGCCGTCTGTTCGTTGTTCACAACTAGCCCACTTATGGAGAATATCAGGTCCACTTTTGAGCATATCGAACAGTCACATTCAGTTCGACTTACCACATCCGTTCTGAAAGAATCGTTCCTACAACGTACCCTTATCGTCTAGTCCAAGGGTAACAACGAGTTGTGTAGTGAGACTGCTGAGTTTACAATGATTCCCCCATGTGACTGATGACTAACGAAGGTAGATGAGACCCAACTGTGAAAAGTCAGGGCTTCGGCTGGATTCGAACCAGCGACAAACACACCATGCGGGAAGGGCTCTACCAGCTGAGCTACAAAGCCACGCCAGGAGCTCGGAAATTTCACATTTGGACTCGGTTACCCACCCGTCCCACTGTCTCATATGGAATCCACCAAATGATCCAGGGGATCGACTGCCCCGGCAGGATTTCTCAAACAGTTCACGCTGGAATCCACCAACGCCACTGTTGAGCACAGAATTTGTATTACTAATAAGTAGTGTGGCAGATTTATGAATTTAGATGGGACCCAACTGTGAAAAGTCAGGGCTTCGGCTGGATTCGAACCAGCGACAGACACACCATGCGGCAAGGGCTCTACCAGCTGAGCTACGAAGCCACGCCAGGAGCTCGGAAATTTCACATTTGGACTGACGAAGTATTGAATTGAACATATTTCAATTTTAACAGGCAAGACTGTCTGTCGACGATGCACACTACTTAGACAGTATCAATTCCCTGTTGAAATCCGAAAACAAATTATTCACACTTAGCCATTTGTTCAGTGGAGCGCATTCTGCAGCTGAAGTTGCTGCTGAACCGTCAATTTTCAGGCGGAAACCTTAAAAAGTATTTAGGTAATAACTATTGACGTTATGCTTATTCTAAAGCAACAGTAATCAGGCAATACACCGAATTTAGTGGTGGGTCTCATTCGTTACATTCTAAGCGGAGTATGGAAACTTTTCTTTGTGGACACATCAGAAAATCTTTAATGCATTGGGCAAAAATATGTATTCTGATCAATCTTTAAACCGGAGCATGATAGTAATTAAATTAAAACATGGAGGTCACTGCGGTGGAAGATAAATTCGTATTTATTCGCAATCTATGTTGTAGTATGTTGGTAACAGAGCCCTTCCATCATCGATTGTAGTGGATCACCAAGGGTCCATTCAGTGGGGCAACACTACGTGGCTTCTTCGAGAGATCCTTCAGCTGACACCGAACTTGATAGACATGCTGACTGTCGTTGATCAACCAGCGCTTGTGCACTCATTGGCTTACTATTGTACAGTAGGGTATGTAGGTCGCACTACGAGGCGCTTATTCAGACAGGGTCAAAACCAATATCTAACTTGGTTGCGGACAATTTCGACGAACCCAAACAACCGTACAGTCGTTGCGTAGCTGGTCGATACGAACTACCGAGTTGGTTTCCTGCAAGCTGTCGTATAATCTAACGAGTTCCGGTTGATTGCTCAAGCTTAATGTTGGCCGTAGCTGAGTCTTTCGCTATTCAGTTAATTAATTCGTTTCTTTGTTTCCACAACGTTTTTACAAGCCATGCGGCTCCCTGGTCAAAAGTCACATCACCAACCTGCAATTCCACCCAAATGCCTAACCGTAATTCTGTACCCACTGGTGCATGGAATGCTAAACCACTCCTTCTAAAAGCGCCCATTTGTCATTTCTAGTGGTCACACTACTACTATCAAGACAAGTGGTTGAACACATCCTGAAATGGTTGAAACAACTTTCAAAGCATCAACCTCATGTTAGTGTACTTGCTGTTCGAGATCTAACATCATCGTTTGCTAAATACCTAATGATAACATGTCAAGTTTACCCGTAAACTCAGTCAGAATATTGTTGCTGACTTTTTACGAAGTGGTGCTTATTTGAACTTACTATCAGATATTGTTTGCACAGAAGTGGCTTAGGCAACCTATCTGTTCGCAGTGGTCCTGATTACGAAATATTTGGTATATTTCTAATCGCGTCTAGTCACTATTTATGCTCATTTGTATTTTTACATAACTTGCATGTTTTACGTTTGAGATTGATGACATTGAACAAAAAGATCACGTCTTAACATATCTTATTTCCTTACTGATGAAGAGGTTACTCCACATGTGACTAGAGTGTATTAACGTCTTGTATATCGTACATTGATCCTCGATAAACTTTCTCTCCGTTATCCACATACTGTTTTAAAATTGTACAATTTTATTCATCTAATGATGGATTGACCAAAGTATTTTTCTATCGCTGTTTTTCTACGCAAATGAAGGACTTTTGTTCGAAACGACTCATTCAGAAACGCAGCTACCAAAATGAGACTGTATTCATTCGTTTATTTTACTTGATGTTTCTGTAAATGAAAATAAGTTCTGTTTAATTAGTCTTCCCCTTCAGGTCTAAATAGATCAGCTGTAATGGAAGGATTGTTAACGGACGACAGTTTTGTCAGACTTTACGTAATTCAGAATGTTGCTTCGGATATATCCATTTGTCTTTTTGTTTTCGTGGTTAGTTACGTCCCATGGATGTTTAACTGACTTTCCTGGGTTCAAATGGCTCACAGTTTGTTACAGGAAGGTGAAAGGTTTCTGCTTGTGTGTATTCTTCTCTGTGTTGTTCCTTGGAGAATTGCGTTGTCGATTTTATTATTGCGCTGAAAAATGTAGTAGTACTAAATAGTAGATAGTTTCGAAGAAACTGTTAACAGTAATCACACCAGCAACAAACACTGAAACACACTGAAATAACTTTCCGCATTTGTTGACCCAAGTGACTGGGCAAGAATGATGGTTAAGAAATTTGTAGTAAGGGCTACGTCTTACATATGTGCCGATCGAGAATTGTTTTAAACTCCAACCAATTCAGCCTTGACCATAAAGTTGAACCATATAAGTTGGTCTAATATAATTTTGCGCTATTTATTCCCGCAAGCACGTGATGAACTGTAAAATCGACACCCTTCGAGGTGTCACATACACGTAGTTTGGATAGCTGGCACATGCAAAAATAACAGCCTCACATCATCAAGCTTCACTTATTTGGTGAAATATGAGACACCAAGAAGAGCTGAATAGTACTGTTTGAACGAATCAAAGTTCACTGAACATTATGGTTTCGTTGAAATTAAGATTTTAAAAACAGACATCTTTATTCGGGTAGTCGCGTCCACAGGGTGTACTGATGAAACTGTATGATTTCAATTATAAAAATGAACGGGTCAAAATAAAATGGCCTCATGAACAGGTCAGAATTGAATGGTTTGGAATCAAGGTTCAAAATGATACTATATAACGCTTCACTGAAACTGATGGCGTTAAGTTTGTGATTTCGGAAAATGAACTTATGTGAAATTAACGAAGTGGACAACAGGCTTGCATGTGCAACACACACAACACTGACGACTTCAAGCATTTTGAAAACATTTTGACGATTTCATAAGCAAAACTCATATAACACTGATTATAATCCGTTTGAGTTTAATCGCAATGTGTATCGTAGAGTTTGTGCATGCGGAATTCAGAATGAAGTGTCCAAATGGTTGCACACATTTGCGGGAAAATTAAGAACACTTACGAACTTTCAGTCAAAATGCTTCGAAATAATCATCTCTAAAGTTAGTATAAGAAGCTCCAGATGAGTTCACTAAGGGATGATGGTTAACTATTCACAAATGTCTAACCAGTGGTATAAATTTAGAACGGAAATGAACACAAACAAGGGATGATCTGAAAAAATTGTACAAATGTGAAGAAAGACGAATGTTTTATTTTCTAGAAGAAGGTTTCAACACATTTTCTAGAATGACGAATTTTGGCAAAACTCTTTGGAAAAGGTAAGAAGAGAAGCCCATAAATTTGTAATGGGTAAAACGAACAGATTTTCAAAAATGGGAACATAGACTGTAAAAATATAATTACATTTTCCAGACTCTAAAAAGGACTCCTACTATACACTTTTAAGGTACTTCATAGAAGGACCTTTTGAATGCCCATGGAGTTGATCAGCAGCTATCTGCCACTGAGAAAATGTGAAAGTGAAGGCGCTATTACGAATGGAAACTGAAAGCAAGTAGAGGAAATGAATATTTCATAAGACGTTAAAACCGATAAGCACTTAGCAGAAAACCTAGGTCTCAATTAACAAGAAAAATTTTATTAGAACTGTTTAATTGGGGATTTAACTTCAGAAAATCGTGTATGACAACAATTTTATGATTATATGGACATTTTCACATTGTATAAAAGCAACCAGATGTCATTAGACAAGCGTTTTTGATCTTTAAAACACCGCGAACGCTTAGCAAAATCATCCTAAGTAAAACCATGTCTACCGTAGAAGCGTTCAGTACCCGCTCTTTAAGACTAAATTTTCCTATAGAAAGGAAACATGTAAAAACCTTGCGGTGGCTATGATCATAGCCATGATTACTGACTCGTTCTGCGTTGTTGGACACCATGATTGCTCTGTCTTGGTATGCAATTGTCTGCTTGTGTTTCTGCTTGCTTGTTTGCTTGCCACAAGTATCACCTTATCCCTGTCCAGTAGCCTACTGTTCATCAGTCCTGCTGTTTTCATCGGTACCGAATTCCAATCGGCCAACTGCAATTATAAGAATCTCCTTACACATATAAACGTAAGAAGTGAATTATCCGAAAGAAATTTTACGATTTTTGCTGTTGTTGAGTGTCAGTTTATAAAGTGAGAACTACTCTGTTGGTGAAACACATATACAGCACCGGATAGTAAGCACCTGTGATGAATGTGACTGGCATGCTTTGTCTACTTCTGTTATGCAATTGTTTTACTATCCCAATATCTTGTACAACTGATCGATACGTACGATTTGGCAATATACTTTCTGTGTTATTGTGTTTTGCGATTCTTATACATTCGATTGTTATTCAATATAGTTCAATTCTAATACGATATTACCCCTCCCCCAATGAACGCCTATAACATGAAAAATGTTCGTTTGGTCAATCGTAATATTTTACCCCGAGCAATGGTAGTTTCTAAAGTCCGGTGTTACAGTTGACATTGATGACAGCCTATAGTCTTCCCATTGACTAATGTGAAAACTACTTTAAATAAGTTTTCAACGACGTAATCTATGCAAACCTTGTGACACAATCCATGGCATATATTTAGTAAAACTGACACCTATGAATCACAATGATAAACGTATTTAAACAGCTGTTTAACGTATTGTGCCAGACCATCATGACCAACTTCTGATGGGGCTAAACACAACGCCGATTATTCGAAAGTTGTTGCTGTTGTCTACAGTTCTTCATAAGT